TGCCAAATTTCATTAGTGAGCCAGTTGAACCTTTTGAAACAATCAGTCTTTAACAGACTATTTACTATATGTGTTGAAAATGTTAACTCAGATTTGAAGAACCCCATACACTACCATATTAGGACATCATGGATTAATATTTCATCTTTGTATTTGAAGGTTCTATATAGAACCATCGATAGAGAATTTCCTCATAGTAATTAGGTCCAGGGAATTCATTACGTAGTTACGGTATGCAAATGCAGCAAACCATACTTATTGTTGCATACATCACTCATCTAGTGTACTATGTATTCTTTCTCCTAGATTTATTTTCAGATGTACTGTTAGACTAGAAATCAGATTGTGCAACCAATATGGCTTCCTTCTCTTATACAATAGTACTTTGGTATATTTGTGTGTTGTAAATTTAAAAAAACAAAAAATACATGAGCAATTGAAATAATTATTTCCGTGCAAGTTTTATTGGCATTACAAGTAATAAATCATATATAAATTTTGGTAATGTCAAATTGTTTCATATAATCTGCTAGAGAACACACATCATTTTTGAACAACAAAGGGACAAAAGAAACAACAGTTTAAGTCTTCATTGATTGACCAGTTTCAATTAGAGGTAGGCCATGACAAACTGAACACTTCAGAAACAATATAATACTATACCAGATTGGTCACAAAAATATCTTTTTTCTCATTTTCAAGAGAAAAATAAGAATAAAGAGTTGCGCTACCCTTACCTCCTGCGCACTCACTCTAAAACATTAACACACAATGAGATCAGCGTTCATTTCTTACAGCACAAAGGTTTGCACACACTAACATAAGATAAGATTACCAAGTGACACCAGGAAAGAAACGTAGGTTACATTAAATGTCTGAAAACGTAGGCACCCGCTACACCCTAGAGTAGAGCATTTTGTCTCCACATTTATTACCTATGAAAGAAGACTCATTTTGATTGGTAATAATAAATTGACATGGTAGAAATCACACATACATGGACATATAACAAAAGATATGCAGTCTTGTAATCATATAGTAGTGCTAAGTTCCTTTTTTTTAAAAGTTTCAAAAGGCAAAAAATTGTACTTAGGGGTGACTTCTTAATAAAAGAAAACAGTGTCTCACTACTAACTGCTCAAGCTAAACGGGCAGTATGAAGGACATTCTCAGGAAGTCATTAAAAGCGTCCCTTTTTACAGAGGTGTTTGAATTACGGAAGCACTTGTATGCTTACATGTTCAAATAAAAATTGTGGATGGTTTCCCACAAAACACATTACAAGCTGAATTTCTTTTAAAACTTTTCTTGTTAAGAAGTATAAAGATAACCCAGTTCCTACAACTACATTGTAATCCCACCTAAATAAATGTCCTAAAATAGAACCATGTTAAAAATTTTTGTTTATACTTTACAACAACAATGAGCAACAAATACGTAACATTTACAGTATCACACTCAATTTGAATAGGCAACAACATGCCACAGAAAACAAATGTACATTCTGTGGTTTTTGAAAAATCTCCATAAAATATACAGAAGAAAAAATTCTAAAATACTGATGACATAAAATTTTGAAGGCACAATTACAAATCCTTTTGAAGGAGAATAGAGTCATAAATGTGTTGTCTAAAGTCTGATGGATTTTCTAGAGGGGCTAAATTATACTTTCTTGTTAAAAGAAGTGCAAACCAGCAGATGTGAACACCACAGCTTACGGTATCCTTCTGAATATCAAAATGACGTTTGATAGACCAAGATTTGGTTTCAATGAAAACATTTTTTAGAAACTTAGCAACAGCACTTAACATTTGTCTTTCATATGTTGATAACAGGCTTCCTGTGCAGGAGAGAGAATTGTATAGCCATAATGAAGAAGATTTTACTTCTGCAACAATAATGATCCAGTGGTTGCCAGAATTACCAGGAAATAAAATAAATTCTTTTGATGAGAGTTTCTTGGGGAGACTCTTGAAGTTCTGATTTCCACTACAGAGTCTTTGGGCAACTGTTGTGTCACAGGCGTAAACACTCTCATTGCATATCATCTTGAGGAAAATGTTGATTACTTCGTCATACAAATAGCCATGCACAAATTTTGAATCTGCTTGAAGAAGTAAAGGCAATTCTCTTTCATCAAGAGTTGGATTTAGAGCCTTTAAATGCAATGATAAAACCTTTATCCCCTGATATTCTATCACAACATCAAGAGGATTATCAATATCTATAGTGGGTTCACCAGTAGCCTGCTCATGATTCAACTCGGACAAAGGAGCTAAATCTGAGTCAACATTCTCTTCACTCTCCTGGTGCTCCTGGAGTAGAAAGTCTTTTATTTCTGTGACACATTTCTTGTGCGGCTTCTTCAATGCTGTCGGCTTGCGTTTTTTTGTTTTTTTCACAAAAGGCGTTAACTGTTTCTGTAATTTTTCATTTGGAGCAGTCTGAGTCTTCACCTCCATTTCAGGTACTGCCCTTGGAGGATCGAAGCACAGAACTTTACATTGAGTTTGCAAGTCGGTCAGGGTAGTTTCAATCTGTGGCAAAATTCTCTTTACAGGACTGTTGTCTAGATAAGTTTTGTCAAAGTCTTCCATGATTTCTCTTATTTTTTGGATGCGCTGTTGAACACTTCTTTCCGTATAGTTGGAACGGCTGTCAGCTGCTGTCTCTTCAACTAATGGAATATTGTTCTCAAAAGCTCCTAAGAAAAATTCAGGCTCTTTCTTCTCCTTTTCAAGAGGCTTTGATAACTCAATCATTGAAAATACCTTATGTATATGTTTACAGAGCGGAAACATATCAGGGCAAGAGCAAGAGAATAAATGAGAGCACAAAGTGTCACAGTAACAACAAGCATATATACATGAGTCACTTGAACATTGATCAGCACACATTACTACACTATAAACCTCAGAAGAATCTTTCTCTTGAGATTTCACAGTCCAGAATCTTTCTGATACCAGGGTGACATCAGAGTCTTTTATTTCAATGCCCTTCAGATGTCGTCTAGACAGAGCTCTATGGTCCTTATCAGACATTGTCTTCAGAAGAACGGAATTTGTGTACCTCACGTAGTAATCCTCTTCAATATCCAACAGAAGATCAATCAAGTCGTCTAGACGTTTGCATGGAGCTCTTTTCATGTAATGAGTCTTCAAAATGTTGTGAAAGGACTCCACGAGCATAGTTGTCTCAGTTTCAGCATGAGGTTTAAGGCGATAACATTTTGCCCATTTATGCGCTTTTGGGAAGAATGTATTGTTAAAATACTTAGTAAACTCTGGACAGTTGTTCGAATATTCATTTAAAAAAGAATCTTTCAGCTGTATGAACTGAGATTCGTCACATTCTTCAATAAGAACACACATAATGCCATAAATTTCATTGACCAAATCATTATCCTTAATGCGTTCTCTTAAATTTGACTGAATTGTACGGTGTATGTGCCACACACATAACAAATGCCAAATTGCTTCTCCCAATCCTGCATTGACGGAATTTATTAATTTTGGGTCATCGTCTGTGATGCAGCAATTAATTGATAAATCTGGACACCTTTCCTTAATGGCTTTGAAGACATACTGCAGAGTTGTCTCTTCTGAGGGGTGACAAATAGCATGACCAACAGGGTACCCAAGGTTGAACTTGTCCCTCACCATTAGATTCAAGAGCTTATAATCATACGAGTTGGTGGAGTGAGTCTCATCAATGACCAGTATTTCTTTGCATCCTTCCACCATCATTTCTAGTTGCTCTTTTGACTGTATAGCTAAAACAAAAACATCATCTGGCAGATTTTCGGACCCCTTGGGTCCAATAATGGTCTTCTCTCCAAGAGGTTTGTACATGAGAACAGGGTTGTAGTTTTCCTGGATTAGTTTGTTGACTTTCATGTACACAGATTCTGCATCATTATTGGAAAATCTGAGACTGGATTTCTTTTTTCTCATCCTTTCAGTTATAGTTTTCTTTTTAACAAGGTTGTCTCTCTTTAGTTTGATAGAGCTCCTGCTCAAACGATTGTTCCTTTTGTAAGAATCGCCCCGGAGACATTCAACAATTTTAGAAGGAGGCACATTCCACGATAATAATTTAGAGATATACTGATTGGTTTCTGTTGATAGCGGCTGGTGTTTCAAGTCTTGCGGCCTGCAAGGGTGAAGATGCGTAGGCCTATATGCTACTTGAATACTTCCATTCGGCAAACATTTTACTGCCATCATTGATAAACATAGATTATTTTTTTTAATTGGTCCTTTTTTGTTCCGCCGGTCAGTCTTCCTGGTAGCCTCATCATTCCTACGGTGACTTTTTTGGGCTCCATCGTGCTGGCAGTAATAATATGTTCTGCCGTTACGTTTTCCAAATTGCTGTGAATAATATGAGTACGTCTCATCTTCAATTTTGGTTTTAAATTTGGAAAATTCTTCGAAATTCTTAAATAAATGCGTTTCTGGAGGCTTAATGTCAGCCTTGTGGTCTGCATAGAGATGTTCACACAAGTCAATTTTGAACATGAAGCGCTTCGGACACTTATCATAGGGGCAAGACATATTGCCCACACCATGGTTGGGCAACTTTTTGCCACTACAATTTGTGACATGCGCTTTAAACATATAACGGCGCGAAAATTGTTTCTTACAGGTATTGCAAACGAGGGTGCACGGCCGAGGATTTAGATTACTCTTGCAGATTTTTTTATGCCTGCTTAGACTTTGGTGACAGCTAAAACTTTTCTGGCAGAACCGACATTGCAATTTCTTCTTTTGGACACCTTCTTCTGGACTTGCTGCAGCCTCTGACCTGAAATCACAAGTGAGGTGAGATTCCAGACTCTCTGTAAAAAAAAACATAAAAAAACAATATACATCATGACAGAATGAAAAAGGTAACACTGAAAATTAAGAAAAAGTTCAGACATCAAGGTACATTACCTGAAGTGACCCTCTGTCTTTTCGGTTTGAAAATCGCCTCATCTAAGTCTGAGGAATCTTCAGACTCTTTGATTACCAGCTTCCTCTTTTTCTTCTGAGGGTTTTTTGTTGGAGAAGCTTCAATGTTTGTTTTGCGAGCCTTGCCTTTTTTCTCTGGTGAAGTCTCAGGAACTGCAGGCAACAAAACAAAAACTCATTTTTAAAAAAGGGGAAAATTTCGGTCTTATCACAGTTCAAATAAACATGTGGGCAATTATCAAAATACACAACTGCAACAAAAAATAAATGACCAAGTATGCAAGCCTTTAGAGGAGAGGAGGAATATCGATCTCATCAGAATTAAAATTAACAGCCTCACAC